TCCCCCCCTCCTTTACCACGTCCCCCCACCCACCATATGATCACTCGTGCTAAAAGTGGCATCTCTAAACCCAAGCTCTTCTCTACCACTCTTATCACCACACCACCTGCAGATGAGCCTAGTACCTATCGCGAGGCCTCCAAAAATATTTTTTGGCGACGAGCAATGGATGAGGAGTATGCTGCCTTGATTAAACAGAATACATGGGTTCTTGTTCCTCGACCTTTGGGTCGGGCTTCGATTGGTTGCAAGTGGGTATACAGGATCAAGCGCCATGCAGATGGTACCGTTGAACGCTATAAGGCACGCCTTGTTGCCAAGGGCTACAATCAAGAATATGGCTTGGATTATTCTGACACTTTTAGTCCTATGGTAAAGCAACAAACTATCCGACTGGTGTTCTCTCTGGCTTTACACTATCAATGGACTCTTCGTCAACTTGATGTGTCCAATGCTTTCTTACATGGTGAGCTTGATACAGATATTTACATGGATCAACCTCCAGGTTATGTGGATCCCTCTTTTCCAAATTATGTGTGTCAGCTCTCTAAGTCTCTATATGGGTTGAAACAAGCCCCTCGGGCCTGGTATTTATGCCTGTCTGCTTTCCTCCATGCGAATGGCTTCCGCAAAAATGTCCACGACACCAGCCTGTTCCTCATGCATAGCTCTCAAGGTATTCTGATTTTACTTGTCTATGTGGATGATGTTATTGTCACCGGCAGTTCAGAGTGTCTTGTTCAGACCTTCATTGATCGCATGTGTCAAGAGTTCAAGACCAAGGACCTTGGTCCCCTCCATTATTTTCTTGGCTTGGAGGTTCAACGTACTACATCAACCATCCTTGTGTCTCAACGGAAGTATGCCCTCGAACTTCTTCAACGGGCAGGAATGACAGACTGTAAGCCGACTGCCACCCCACTTCCTGTTCGGCCAGCAGTCACCGAGGGGGGATCTTCACCGCCGTTCCCTGATGCTTCTTTATTCCGTAGCCTTGTTGGCGGCCTTCAATATCTTACCACTACAAGGCCTGATATTCAGTTTGATGTAAACTACGTCTGTCAGCGAATGCACGCCCCTACAGAGGATGATTTTCAGGCCTTAAAACGGGTTCTTCGGTTTATCAAGGGTACTATGGATCGTGGTCTGCTCTTCACCACTGGAGACTTACAATTAACAGCCTACTCAGACTGGGCTAATGATATGACAGATGGTCGTTTGGTAACTGGGTATTTAATATATCTCGGGCCGAATCTTGTGTCTTGGAGCACAGAGAAACAGACTCGGGTGTCCAAATCCTCTACGGAGGCTGAGTATCGTGCCCTATCCTCGGCCGCCTCGGAGGTCATGTGGCTCACTTATGTTTTGATGGATCTTCGTATTCCTGTGTCTATACCACAGCTTTTCTGTGACAACCAGTCCGCTATTTGTCTCACAAAAAATCCAGTTTTTCATAAACGCATGAAGCATGTGGGAACTGATTGTCACTTTGTTCGAGAACAGGTTATTGCAGGCACCATGAACGTCTCACATGTATTCTCTGAAGATCAGCTTGCTGACTTGCTCA